TTCTTATCTTTCCAGAAGGCAGTTGAGCAGGAGATATAAAACATGCACATTCTTTTTAAAATATACCCTCTCTTTCTGTGTGTGTGTGGGAGGGCACACATACTAGGCATATATGAGGAGCTTAGAGGGCAACTTGTGGGAGTTAGTTAAGAGTCCCAGAAATCTAACTAAGCTTGTCTGGCTCAGTGTGTTTACCTGCTGAGCCATCTCACTGAGCCAACATGGCTATTCTTTTTTTTTTCTTATTTTTTATTAATTACACTTTATTCATTTTGTATCCCCCCATAAGCCCCTCCCTCCTCCCCTCCCGATCCCACCCTCCCTCCCCTTTCTGCATGCATGCCACTCCCCAAGTCCACTGATAGGGGAGGTTCTCCTCTTCTTTCTGATCTTAGTCTATCAGTTCTCATCAAAAGTGGCTGCATTGTCCTCTACTGTGGCCTGGTAAGGCTGCTCCCCCCTCAGGGGGAAGTGATCAACGAGCAGGCCAATCAGATTATGTCAGAGGCAGTCCCTCTTCCCATTACTATGTAACCCACTTGGACACTGAACTGCCATGGGCTACACCTGTGCAGGGGTTCCAGATCATCTCCACGAATAGTCCTTGGTTATTCTTATGGCTCTCAGTACCTATTTCTATAAATTTACAATAAAGCAATATAAAAGACTGTCTAGAGATTTAGCTAAGACAAGTATTACTGAAAGTAGGTTGTTAAAAATACGGCAGCAAAGTAAACAACCTTAGATTTTTTAAAATAGCATATTGTCAAGTTAAATTGTTATATACCCAATAAATCAGTAGCTATTAATATTAATGTTGTAGAAATACATTTTATTTATATAGAAAATACTTTCAATACTATACTTCTCATTAAAATATTTTTGTGTACACATTATATATCTTACATAATACATTCACAGTATACTCACATATAAATGTATATAGTAAATACACATTATACACATAAAATTTTACCTGTGAATGTAAACATACAAGATGTTTAAAGTATGTGTCTATATTCTTGGGTCTGAGAAGACTTGATGGCTTCTGATATGCTAGTACAGCTTTATCCTTTTAAATTCTTTATTATTTATATTTTATTTTTGTAATGGAAATACATTACTTAAAGAAAAAAAACAAAAAAATTCTTGTAAGTTGTATTTTTAAAAATATAAGAGTAGTCCCCAAGTACTGGGGTAGTCATGTTTTTTTGTTTGTTTGTTTTGAGGCATAATGATTAGAGTTCTGTCTCCCAGAACCCACAGAGCAGAAGCTGGGCATGGTGGTACGAGTTTGGAATCCTGCACTGGGGAGATGGAAACAGGTGGATTCACAGGGCTCACTAGCCAGCTAGCATAACGTATGCTGGTGAGTCTCAGGCTAATAAGAGACAAGGCCACAGAAAGTTAGGTTAAAAACACGTAAGGAATGACAACCTATATTTTCTTTTAGCCCTCTCGTTCATGCCTACATATGTATTCATATTCTCACACATATGAAAATTCACATACACACACAGACAGAACTACACTGACAGAACAGCGATTCTAAAAATGCCTGCTAACGTCTACATTTCTATTTCATGTGGAAGGAAAATTAATAAGCTGACTTTTTTTTGTCTACTGTAGTAAATTACAGGAGCAGAATCATTAGCAATGTTTAATCACTCTCTCGGTCTTACAGCTACTGACTAAAAGAATGTTTAATCATGAGGCCAGCATGGTGCCCCTTACATGGTGCCAGAACAGAGCACAGGAATATGAGAATGAGGGTTGAGTTCTACCTAACCAGTTATAACTGGGAGTGTGAACACTGCCCCTCCTTCCCTCCTAAAATAGGACGACGAAGTGAAAGCTGGTGGACCTGTCAGTTCTAAAATCAAATGGCTGAAAAGACCTTGATGAGAGTCTAGGTTGGCAAAGAAAAGATCAACTGGCTCAATGAGCAGCCACCGCATGGTCCTGTTCAGGACTGTGTGATAGGTGAGGTGTCCATCAAACAGGGTGGGTGGCATGGCTCCCATCATTACCACTTCAGCAGTGAGCTACACTTTTCCTCAGGTCCAGAAAATTCCTCTTGTCTGGTTTTCTGTCTCAATTCTAAGGCAGATCATTTACTCAGAATTTAGAGTTCAGAGTCCTGCTGATCTACAGAGAGTGGTCCATGTCAAGACATGGATGGCAGACATGGATGGCTGATGCTCTTCTAATTCAGTTCAGTCTCATAAATAGCTTACAGTGCCACATAGGAAAGGCTTTGTGATCTTTTGGCTCAACAAAGAAGTGAATCTGTCTTAGGTAGGGTTTGAGACACCATGCCCACAGAAACTCTTATAAAGGAAAACATTTAATTGGAAGCTGGTTTAGTTGGGTTCAGTTCATTTTCATCATGGCAGGAAGCATGGCAACACACAGGCAGACATGGTGCTGGAGAAGGAGCTGATAATTCTACATCTTAATCTGCAGGCAGCAAAAGGAGACTGTACCATACTGGGCATAGCTTGAGCATATGCAACCTCGAAGTCCGTCCCCACAGTGACACACTTCCTCTAACAAAGCCATGCTTCCTAAAGTTCTACTCTCCACGGGCCAAGCATTCAAACACATGAGTCTATGAGGGCCATTCCTATTCAAACCACCACAGAACCCATTTTCTCTTGAAGTTTCTCTTACAATAATTCATGAAATACACATAACTTTAAGAATGACAGAGTCTCCTACCAAATACCAACTTTGCAGTTTAACATTAAAATTACAAGCAGAAAGGTCAGCATATTGGAGAAGTGTTTGTGAAGCAGGAGCTTCTGTTTTTTAAAATTAGTAACTTGGATTTCAAACGCAAGTTGGAACAAATTGAAAATCATTAAAAAAGAATAATTAGTGGGTAGATGGGACTTTGTAATGGCTGTCATTTCCTTGGAGTCTTCTGTAAGGAAATTCTGGGCTACCTCTATGGGTAATCAATATACATAAAAGACAAAGCCATCCTGGGTTTATTACAATGAGATCATGTACTTATGGCAGGTACTCCTTACTAGGAAAGTGAAGGAACATCTTTGGGGGGTATAAATTATGCCACCAGCAATTACAGCTTACTGTTTCTCAGCCTCGGCTCAGAAGCCAATTAGAGAACAGCTCAGCTTTGTGTATTAAATGCCACCCCATGTGAGTATTCATGGAAGAACTGATTTGTGGACTGAACCTGTCTCAGAAGCCAACTGAAGAGCACTGCCATCACACAATGAGCAGGAAAGGAGACGACTGTAGACAAGTCTGAGGCACGAAGCAGCTCTTAGGTCACAGAAACCTGATCTGGGAGACCGGATGCCCTGAAGGCTGCAAGGAGACTCAAGATCCCTGAGGACTCCTGCCTGAGCATTCAGGACTCAAGAAATGAGCTGCTGCCGGTGAGTGAGGGGGCAGCCAGGGTGCCATGTCCTCAAAGTCAAGCACTAACGGCTCTCCATGATATTTAATGTCCTTTCTTAGTTTCGTTTGTTTCACGTGTGTGTATTCGTGTACATACGAGCATATTCATGCAGACGGCGGTGCACATGTCCATGCAGATGCATATACAGGTAGGTGTCCTGCCTCTGAAAACCAGGGGACAACCGCATGATTGTTCCTCAGGGTTTATCCAACAGGCTCTTACTGGTCTTGAGCAGGCAAGAAAGAGGAAACTCCAGGGACCTACCTACCTCATTGTCCCCAGTTCTGGCATTACAAGTGTGCACATCACACCAGCTCTTTTTTTTCTTTTTAATGTGGATTCAAGGGATTTCTGGTCTTAATAAGTATTTTACCTATTAGCCCTCTCCTCAGCCCTCTCTTTTGTTTTTTATTTTACCTTCCAGGACTCAGTGTCAGCTTTCACATTCATTATTCTACACTGTTTCCCAACTTTCTCAGCCAACTGCCAGCACAACACACAAGACCCTTCCCGAGCTTCCCACTAGGTTCAATCCCAAGGAGTGCAATAGACAAAGAAAGAAACAGTCCAACAGAGGAGCAGTCCCCCAATGCACCATTAAACCATATCCTTCAAAACTGTCAAGGTTATCTCAAGCAAGGTATCTTGGGAAACTACTACAGCCAAGACAAACCTAAGAAGCTATGAGAGATAATATAGTGTACTGGTATAATATCAGAACAGAAGAAAAAAAAAGATTGGAAGGCTCTAAGGACTTCTGAACAAGCTGTGGCCTTTTCTTTTATATTAAATTAGTTGGTGTTATATTACTACTGAGTATGGTGGGGTGCTAATAATAGTGGGGATGGTGGGTGAGAGGTATATGCAGTGGCAGGCCTTTGAGCTACCTGGTCAATTTTCCTAAAAGTGCAGACTATTCTAAAAGTAGACCCTGTTAATGTAAAAATTAAAAGGCGGCAAAATAAAATAATGAAACAAAACAGTAAACTGGTACTCTTGCTTTTTTTCTTGCCACAAGTAAACAGTGACTGTGAATTCCTTAGCTATTCTGTGAGATTCAACACTAGCAGGCCTGCTTGCTACTGTCTTAAGCATGAGACACCATAGAGACTACCAAGAGATAAATAACGTCACTTATACAAGCTAGTGTATGCAACAAGGGTCACTGAGTAAGCACATCTAGGTTAGCCCACAAGCTTCTCTTCGATCCCAGCTTCCCTTGCAGTTAGTGAGGCCTATTCGAGTAGTTCTAGCCAGAGTGTAAGCAGATGTGATGTGTGCCCCTTGTGGCTGAGAAACTGAGACTCAGTTGGGCTGTACCCTTCACCCGTCCCTGGTAAGCTGACCTTCAAACTGTGTGTTCCTCTACAGAGTGTCACACCAGATGGAGTCTGCATCATCCCAATGAGATTTCAGAGTGAGAAATTTTACCATGTTAAGCCATCAACAATTTGGTGCTAAAGTGACCAAGGTTCATAACCCTAAACTGTCAAGAGGTTGTGTTCCAAAGCTGCAACTAGTTGAGAGTTTTCTCTGCAAACCTGTGCAACCACAGGATGCTGGGACTTACCACAGGCAATGGTCCAGTAGACTAGAGAGTCTGGAGTCTGGTAGAGGATCCGGTATGGTGCAACTCGGGCACTGGAGTCCAATACCACATCAAGGGTACCCACCAGGAGGCCTGAAGATGGAGAAGTGGGAAACAGGTCAGGATTCCCATAGCATGATCCTCAATGGTCAAACAGTGTGCACATGGCCCTCCAGCTTGGGTCGCCGGACAGGCACACTACAGGGCACCTTGACAAAGCTTTCATTTTATAGGACGCAGGCTCTACAGTGGTTGTTTCAGGGATCTCCAAGAGGAACTGCGGCTGAGAAGTGCAAGGCTTCACGAGCACATCAGGCTAATGTCCTGGCCCAGACCCTGGTGTTTTGTGCTTTTTGTGGATGCTGGCTGGTAACAGAAAACACCATGAGTACTCATATGCTGGAGCTTCTGCTCTAGCCATCTTTGTGCCTGATATATGCTCTGTCCCCCCTGGGGATGTGAAAGCATCTCTCTCTGAGTGACTGGACAAAGCCATGGGGACTAAGCACGAGTGTGACTTGCTGTGTCAAGATGTATTTTAATTTGGCAAACTTTCATTTTGTACTGAAAACTTTAGTACAACTCAACTCAAACTAACTTCCTACTGTGTGCAAGACAAAGCCTGAGGGTGCAAGAGTCTCAGGGCACCTGCAATGGAGGAAAGTGCTCCAGGCATTGAGGCTGTTTGAGGGTGAGTAGGTGTGAGTCAGATTCTCACATATAGTAGTAGTTCTTGGCATTTGTGGCACGCTCACTACAGCAGAGGTCATGGGAGCCTGCTCAGAACTCTGAAATGATGCATCATCAATAAGGCTGAGGGCCAGGTCACACATTCCGGGTGGCACGAAGCTAACTCTGGGGGTGGATATCCTATGACAGACTGACATAGAACCAACCCTGACCTCGGGGAAACCAGCTCACACGGGCCAAATCCAGAGAAGTGTGGCCATGCAATAAGGGGGCTCAGTCATCTACCAGCACAAAGACAGATGTCTTCAAGGCACACGCTCTCTTCAACAGAAGCTGGGAGATGTCTGTAAGGAGACGCTATCCTGGTGACCTGGTTTGAGACCAGTCCCTGCTGGACAGACACACCCTCTTTTTGGCCTTTCAGCGCTTCTCAGAGTTCTAAGCTGAGTTTTTAGGTGTGGGGATGACTGCTTCAAATGTGAGCCTGTGATCAGCACACCTGCCTTCCAAGCACTTTTCACCTGATGTCCCCTTTATCCACCCGGGCCGGCACTGCGCACCTACACTGATCTAAAAACCAGAATGGGTGGATGGGGACACATGCCCACAAATTCTGCAAGGTTTCATAAATTAGGTGCTTTACCTGACAGAACAAATTCGAAGTATCACTGTTATCATTTGGTTAAGTGTCCTCCACGGACCACTTAAGGCCAGCGATGTACCCGACGAGTCTTTTCTGAGAATGGGTAACTAGTCAAGAATAAAGTTTGTGTGGTTTGGATGGTGTCAGCTAAGTCTTGCTAGAACCTTTGCGTGGGGGAACCTGATAGGAGGTCCCTGGACCATTAAGGCCTTTAAAGGACTGTGGTGTGCAACCCTTGTCCCTTTCCTCTCTTCTGCTCCCTGACTATGAGGTAAGCATTTTCTCTGTGATGTGCTCTTAAAATTTTCAGTCTATCCATCTGCCAAAAAAGAAATGGGATAGGTCTGATTGATAGGGTGACAGATACTTCTTGTTTTTTAAGTTAAATTACCTCTGATATTTCGTTATAGTGACTCAAGTTGACTCAAGCAATTCCCATCATTTGAATGTCTAATCTAAATTAACCCAGAGTTGCACAGGATGCAACACAGAGTAGGGCTTGGACTCAGAAGGGGCAAGTAAGAACTCAGAACACTTAAGTAACCTTAGGCCAAAACATTTTTAATTTAGTTTTTCTTCTTCTACTGTGTGCGGAAAGAGGGTGTTCTGATGAGGTCTCCAGTTGTAGCGTATGTAGCCCCAGCTGGCCTCAAACTGAAAACGAGACTGACCTTGCACTTGAGACATCCCTCCTGCGTCTACCTCTCATGTTGTGCAGTTTGGGATATATACTCAGCTGAGTTTTAAAGCTTTTCTCAGTTATGCAAAGGGGGTGTATGGTACCGAATCACTAGCTAGTTTCTGAGGACTTGGGGAGCAGGACATAGAGAGCAGAAAGCAGGGCTGGCTGCCTCCTCTTATGCAAGAGTGTAGTATTACTGGCACTGAACCACATGATGGTGGTCAGTGCTGGGAGGAAGAGACTGAGGTCCAGCTATGGTTTGCTTCAACAGTAAGCTGCCTCCTGTAAACAGCCAAGTTTGAGGAAGTCCAGAGTAAATCTCCCAAGAGGCTCTGTTGAGGCAGAACTTGTGTGTTCCACAGAAAACATCACCACCAGGCTCTCTTGAAATGATGCTGGGCCCTGGTTCTGAGCACACCAAGCATTACTTTGGCACAAACAATGCCCCACACACCACCTCCGCTTGGCTTTGGCAGCCTGAGGGCTAGAAAGAGATATGGACTAGTCAACTTGTGCTGAAAAGCTCCATGCCAGGTCTCACTGCTCTGATTTTCTCAGTTGTAAAGTGACCACAACAGCATATGTCTTCCTGAGCTAGAATTATTAATCAAGAAGCCTGAGTGAGGTGGACCACAGGGAAGGCCTATGCCCGTCCTTGGTCACTGTCCAAGGGCAAAGCATCCATTTAAGACTCCCTGCAAACCACACTGACCATCAGCTGGCCTGAATATATCAGGAAAAAAAACACACCAAAAATACAGCTTTTTCTAAAGTGGAAACTAGTTTTCTCTGAGCTAGGTAAAATATGTTAAAACTCTTTACAAAATTTATGGATCCTGCAGAGTTTGGGTTAGAGTTCCACACAACCCTGCTGATGGTTTTTTTTTTTTTTTTTGAGACAGGGTTTCTCTGTTTAGTCTTGGCTGTCCTGGACTCGTTTTGTAGACCAGGCTGGTCTCGAACTCACAGTGATCCACCTACTTTTGCCTCCCTGAAGCTCTGGGATTACAGGTGTACCAATGTATCCAGTGACAAATGCATTTTTGTTTGCTTTACTGTGACTCAGATTTTCTGAAGATCTCTAGTTATTTTTATTGCCCGCAGGAAGGTACAGCAACAGAAGAGGCAGAAAGCAAGGCTGGCCCAGAGAAGTGGCCTCCCTTCCACATGGTAGGCAGAAATAATGTACACTGTCAGGAGACATGTTCATGAGGAGTCCAACCATATCACTAATAACTGCGTGTTGCTGCTACTGCTTTCTCCTTGAGTCCAAAGAAGAAATGATGCTCAGGCTCCTGCAACTCTCCAGGGTCTCTGAGGTTAGTGAGCTGGAGGCAAGGATCAGCCACTGCATCTGGTAAACATCTATGCCTACTGAGCATTGTTACAGACAGACAATTGTTATCGCCTCTGGTGGACAAGCCAAGTTCATGGGGAGAGCAGTGCATGCTGGACAGCACTGGGCCTGGAGTGCTTCACTCCCTACCTCAAAGACCCTGCCTCCTGGACTCAGTTTCTCCATCCTTGTTGGGTCACTAAAGCTCTATGCTCTGTCACACAAAAGAAAGTCTCTGGACAAGCCAAACTCAACCTACATCTCTTGATCACCCCAGTGGCACCAACTCAAATTCATCTCCAGTATTAAAGCATCAGGTGTCAGTCAGAGATACAGAAAATGGAGTTGACTAAGGTAGAAGCCCGGAGTGAGGGATGACTAGAGTTACCAGTTCCTCTAGTCTGAGTCTGCCTTCACACCAGCACCACTAACATCCACTAAGAATCAGATAAAAACTAATAAATGCTTAAAATATAAAAGTACACACATACAAATTCTTACCGAGGGTCCATGCTGAAACATTTTCTATAAGCAGTATAATATCGGAATCTCTCACTACGTTAAAATTTTAAGTCGTTTTTTTTTTTTAATTCAAAGAAAGGGGCTGGAGAAATGCTCAGTTGTTAAGAGCACTGACTGCTCTGCCAGAGGATCTGTGTTCAATTTCCAGTACCCACATGGCAGCTCACAATTGTCTGTAACTCCAAGATCTGACACCTTCATGTAGATATACATAGAGGCTAAACATCAATGCACATAAAATAAAAATAAATAAATTATTTTAAAATAAAAACAATAGATATTCAAATAGAATGTTGCAAAGTGACCTACGTTATTGGTACTCAAGTCAATAAGTATATAATTTCTGTGTTAATGAGAATCCCAGGCCTTTTCATACTTCAGTCAGTGAGCAGTTTTTCTTAAGATTTTTGAAAATTTTTGCCGTGTGCATGTGTCTCTGTGTGCATGAGAGTGCAGTTGTCTACAAGCCAGAAGAATGTGTTAGATCTCCTGGAGCCTGGAGTCCTCCACAAGAATAGTATGTGATCTTACCCACTGAGCCATCTCTTCAGCCTATCGTGTTTTCACACCATTTGGGACACTGTATTCTGCTGTCTGCTCTTGACTCTCACCGCCTTGAGTGATAGACTCTTAATTATTTAATGCTATCTCTTTCTAACTTGATTCTCTCTCTTGCTCTTCCTTTCTCTCAGACCAGTCCCCACAGTGCTGACTGCATTTATTTGAAAATATCTGTGTACCTTGCTTTGCACATCTCCAGGCAGTTCCCTGACAGTCAGGTCTAATTAATTCTGTGGGACCCACAGTTTCAGCACTTTGATTGGAAGCCAGGAAGTCCTGAGCATATGTTTGATAGAGAAATAACTTAGGTATCTTTTTTAAGTTTAAGGAAATTATTCTAGTGCTGTCTAAGCTTGATTGATGCAAGTTAAGACTCCTGTATCCACCCTCTGTTCATTTAGAATATTAGAAGATGGGTAATTAATTGGGTCTAGGGAAAAAAAGGAAAAGAGACAGGGAGGGGGGAATAGAGGAAATGAAGAGAGAGAGAGAAGAAGCAGAAGAAGGGGGAGGAGGAGTTAGAGAAGAAGGAAAAGAAGAAATGAGGATTTTCTTAGAAGTCCTCTTACTCAGGCTCTGGAGTAGCTGTCAAACCTGGCACCTCATCATCTCCCACACAAAACACTGTTTGAACTGCTGCTCTAGTCTGCTATTTCTGC